TTCTCTTTCCGGCTCACCTGGCTGGGTGCCGTTTTATGGCTATGCTCTGTCTAGGGGGATAGCAGGTGTGACCCCTCAACACGAGGTCACAGCCCACACCTGTCTGGGCAGAGCAAGGCAGGGCATCGCTGTGTGGGTGTGCAGCATCTTTTGGTTCCTCTGGGTGAAGCAGGGTTTGGGCCCCATTCTCCACATACTTCCGGCCCATCTGAGGGTAGCGCCCACCTAGGGGGTGGGGAAGACAGCCAGCCAGGAGCTCACGGTTTGGTGGAAGAGACAGGCTACAGCCATGTGGTGTGGTGGAGGGGCAGGGGGCAAGGGTGGGGACAGGATCAGGGGGTGTTCCCGAGGCCTCCGTGGGCTTGGGGGCTTACCTGCTATTGGTGCAGAACAGGGGAAGTAGGCAGTGCCTGGCTGGGTGCTGAGGCTCTATGCAGAGGACAAGCAGGAGTTGGAGGAAGAGGATGTATTCGAACTTGGAGGTGGTGAGTTTGAGGTACCTGGAGATCAGCCAGGCTGGGAGTTGAGCTCAGAGAAAGGCCCGGGGAAGCTTTATTAGCACCTGTAGTCCCCAGAATTTGGGGATGCTCAGATCTTAGGGGTGCCACCAGAGGTCTCAGGAGGCACTGGTATGTGTGTCCTGGAAAAGCCAGAAGGCAGCTGGGTGGGATGAATTGGGGGAGGTACTAAGGGGGTATCCTGCAGGTTTAGGGGGCTGGGCCAGGGCCCATGTGAGGCTTATGACGCTGGAGGAGTGGAAAGGACTGAGTGTCTCAGGCCAAGGCTGGAGATGGGGGGGACCTCTGGTCTGCAACCCCAGAAAGGCAGGGTGGATTGGGAGTAACCAGGGCCAGTGCAGGTGGAACCAGCCCAGCCTGCCCTCCACCTGCAGAGCCCATCCAGGAACTGTCCAGCACTGGGTGCTCCTGAAGGAGGCTGAGTCTGCCTCTTGAGTCCCCAAGCCCTGGCTTAGCTTGTTGTCCTGACCCCCACTTCCTGCAGAACCCAGCTGTGGATGCCCCTGGCCCCCAACCCGGCCACTCAGAGTGCCCTATCCCCTAACGGTGGTCATTTCCTTTCCGGAAACAGGGACTCGGTCTTCCCACTGTGCCCCTGGAAGGGGAGTTCCCCAGAAACAGGGCTCAGAAAGGGACCAACCTGGAACTTGGCTCCATACCCCTCTTTTTTTTTTTTTGAGACAGTCTTGCTCTGTTGACCAGGCTGGAGTGCAGAGGCGTGCAATCTCGGCTCACTGCAACCTCCACCTCTGGGGTTCAAGCAATTCTCATGCCTCAGCCTTCTGAGTAGCTGGGGTTACAGGTGTGCATCACCACGCCTGGCTAATTTTTGTATTTTTAGTAGAGATGCAGTTTCACCGTGTTGGCCAGGCTGGTCTCAAACTCCTGACCTCAAGTGATCCGCCCTCCTTGGCCTCCCAAAGTGCTGGGATTACAGGCGTGAGCCACTGCACCCGGCCTCCCCTCTTGCCCATTCTGCGGCCCTGGACCCTCCCACCTGGCGTCTGACACACAGTGGGAGCTCACCACGGCGTGGTGGCCAGTGCATTGAGGGTAGTCACCTCCCTCCCCAGAACCCCATTTCTTCGTCTCTACAATGGAGAAACAACTCTTTCTTCCAGGGAAGATGTGAGGGGAGAAGGGTTTTAACAGGGGCATGGCCCACTGAAATGTGGGTTCTAGAATGCTGACCTTGGCCGCACTGGAGCCTGGGTTTATGTGTTGGGACAGTGGGTATCTCTGCAACCTTCTGCTGCGAGCAGTTAGAGAAAAAGGGAATGAACAGAGCTGTGATTTTTAAACAAATAGCTTATTTAGTCTTCATGACAGCCTCTTAAGGTTGGCACTGCTGTCACCTCTATCTTAACAGATGGGGAAACTGAGGCTCCAGAGTCCAAGGGGTCCTGCTGGGCAGCGGGGCAGCTGGGATTCAAACCCAGACAATCTGGCTCCGATTCTCAGACTTTTAACACTGTCCCAGCACGTCAAGTGACCAGAGGTGGTCATAGGGAGACGCCCAGGCAGTGGGGCTCCCTTTGCTGGGGAGCAACTGTCAAATGCAACTGTGGGAACCCCTGGGACTGAGGGTCTGCAGGCCCCAGCGCCAGCAGGGCTGGTCAAGCTTGGGATGTCTGCAAAAACCGGGGGGCTCAGCAGAAGGACTCCCACCCTCCCATGGCGGTGGCAAAGGCTGAGCATGCCATGAGAGGCCTGGGGTTGTCCTGGGTGCAGAGCTGTTGTAATAGCTGCCTCCAAGCGATGCTGCTCAGGGCGGGCCTTGGACTAGAAAGTTATCTGCACGGAAGAGCAGCTAGGGAAACTAATGCTCAGAACAGCCAAGACCACATAGTACCTACTCACCCATACAGAGGCATACAAGTCCCAAGGGCTCTGAATCCACACCTGGCCCCATCACCAGCCAGAAGGCCCCCACCCACCCATCATGCAGTGAGGTCATAGCAAGTTCAAGGGTGTTAAGACCAGAAACCATGCCTACTTTGCCTTCTGCCAGGGTGGTGGAGTGAACGCAGGTAGTCTGGGAGGGGAGGGTTGGGGAATTCACATCTGGCGGAATTCCAGCACATCTGGCCCTGGTTCAGAGCCTACCTTGTGGGGATGCGGTCTCTGGGGAGGCGAGGAGTAAAACGGGCTTGAAAACCAACGCCCACGTATTCAGCGGTGAAACAGAGACTGAGCTGTGTGCTCTGTTCCTGAATCTGCAGGGGAGAGAGACACTCATACCTAGTCAGCGGGTGGGAGTCACTCCAGGCCGGAGGGATGGCCTGCCCAAAGAGCATCTGTGTCCTGCCCAGGGAGGGCTGCAGAGAGGAGGCTGGAGGGGTGGAAGGGACTGCCCTGCTGAGGCCAGGAGGGCGCTCGAGGAACAGCAGGATTGAAAGCCTCTGTTGTCCAGAGCAAGGCTGAGTGGGCCAGGCCAGTGCTGCTAAGGTCCTGAGGACCCCTAAGGGTAGTGGACATGAGAAGGCGTGGCTGGGCAGCTTTTCTGAGGATGGTGGAGGTGAGCAGAGTGAGGGGTGCACTGGCTCACAATCCCAGCAGTTTGGGAAGCTGAGGCGGGCAGATCACCTGAGGTCGGAAGTTCGAGACCAGCCTGGACAACATGATGAAACCCTGTCTCTACTAAAAATACAAAAATTAGCCGGGCTTGATGGGTTGCACCTGTAGTCCCAGCTACTCAGGAAGCTGAGGCAGGAGAATCACTTGAACCCAGGAGGCGGACGTTGCAGTGAGCCAAGATCACGCCATTGCACTCCAGCCTGGGCAACAGAGCAAGACTCGGTCTCAAAAAAAAAAAAAAAAAAATCACCTGGCCATGGCATCATGTGCCTGTAATCCCAGCTACTAGGGAGGCTGAGGCAGGAGAATTGCTTGGCCCCAGGAGTTCGAGGCTGCAGTGAGCTATGATTGCGCCACTTCTCCCCAGCCTGGGCCACAGAATGAGACTTTGTCTCAAAAAACAAAACAAAACAAAGCCTGTTTCCCCATCGTGAATGGTTCATTGGGGGATGGGTGGCACTGCCCACCCCAGGATGTAGGAGAGGACCCTTAGTTCTGACCCTCTCCCCCTTCATGCACTTGATTCTCTGACTGCCGCTCTGAGGACGGAGCTAAGTGAGGGTGCAGGAGGAAGGGGGATCTCTTGCCAGTGGGGCGCAGCTTTTGGGGGTGCTGCATAGCTAGTTTGACCTATGGGACCACTGACCATCCCTCCTCTTCCTGGGCCTCCTGGCCTCCTGTGGCTGGGATGGTGCTGGGGAGGGGGTGGGGGCGCCAGCTGGATGTGGGCGGGGCTCCTGCCTCTCCCCGCCCCCAGGGCCACCGCCCACTGCGCCGCGCATCGATTGGTCGCGGGCCCATTAGCGGGGGCGGTGAGTCCGACTCATCAATATTTTAAGAACTGACCCGGCCTTGGGGTCTGGAACTGCTGAGCGGGCGGGGGCTGAAGACCGGCCTTTTTTTTTGTCCTCCAATTGTCAGCGCTATTTTTACCGCCGGGAAGCTGCCGCCCCTCCCCCATGCCGCCTGGACTGACTGTCTAGCTGAGCTGGGAGCTGGGGTCTCTTGTCTGGGTTGCTGGTGTTGAGGTTAGGAGAAACTGTGGCTTGGAAAGGCGATGAGCAGGGACTCCATTAGTCTTCCCCTGCCCTCCTCCCTCCATCCTCCCCACCAAAAACCCCTCTGAAGCTCCCATCCCATCCGAGATGGTAACGAAAAACATTTTTTCAGGAGAAGGCAGACAGCCTAACTGAGCCTAGAAAAACCGGAGGTGGGGGGGTGTAATGGATTGGGGGAGGCTGGTCTACCCGCTCAGTGCTCCGAGGAGGGCCAGCACCGTAGGGGGTCCTGGGTAGGCTTCCTTTGTCTCCAACGCCAGTCCTCAGAGAAGCGGCCTGTGAGGGGGAGAGGCAGCCCCCTACTTGTCCCTGGTCCCAATGGAATGACAGCCCAGTCTTCGATGTCCAAGGCCATCACTCTGCATCAGAATCAGGAGCCCCTAGAGGCCACACACAGCTCCAGCAGCCCCATTTTACTGATAGGGAAGCAGAGGCACCGAGAGACACAGAACCTGGCCCAGGATAGAGTCCAAATCTCCCAGAACCCAGTCCAGCACTGCCCGGCACCAACTCAACTGGTCTGTTGACACCCTGGGACCATAGGAGGAGAGCTGACCACCAAGAGAGTTAGAGACCACAGGGTCTTGGAGATCAGAGAGGCAGAGCAGTATAGGGAAGGTTTCCTGGGAGAAGAAAAGGTTTTGTTTTGGTTTGGTTTTTTGAGACAGGGTCTCACTCTGTTGCCCAGGCTGGAGTGCAGTGGTACAATCTCGGCTCACTGCAGCCTCAACTTACTGGTTTAAAGCAAACCTCCTGCCTCAGTCCCCCAAGTACCTGGGACTACAGGCGTGCGCCACCACGCCTGGCTAATTTTTGTATGTTTAGTAGAGACGGGGTTTCACCATGTTGCCCAGGCTGCTCTTGAACTCCTCAGCTCAAGTGATCTACCCGCCTTGGCCTCCCAAAGTGCTGGGATTGCAGGTGTGAGCCACCGCACCCGGCCAGAAGAGAGGGTTTTGCACGATCTAAAGGCAGGGGAGATGTTGAATAGTCGGAAGAGCAAAGTCCCTAGAGAGGGCTTGAAACACCAACCTTGGCAACACCCGGAGGCTGGGGGAGCTCCCGCCCTGCCCATGACTGCACATGGGTTACAACATTGCAGACACCACCTCCTGTCCCATCTTGCCGCTGAGTGGTCAGAAAGTGAGGAGAGTGGGCCCACAGGTTGGGAGTGTGGTCAGTGTCACTCACTCGGGGAGCCCCCACGGGGTCACGCCTTGAGCCCAGGTCAGCCAAGCTCCCTACACATGGTCTCCTCCCCAGTTCTGGTCCCAAAGGTGGGTGGGGACAGCACACTCCTGCCCCTGCCACAGCCAGGCCCCCTTCCCTGTGGCTTGCAGCCTCCCCTCTGCAGAGAACCATGTCGGGGCCTCCCTCTCTCCATCTGAAGCCAGGTGGGAACCTCCCTGCTGGCACTGCTGTTTGGAGACTCATACCTCTAGCTGCTCAACCTGTTTCATCTGTGTATCCGGGGCTGGTCCTACTGAGGACTGCTGTGTCCAGCATCAGGCCTACAGGCTCCTGGCCGGCTTGCGGGGTTAGGTAGGGGAGGTCAGGACAGTCCCAACCTCCCAGTGCCTCCCAGGGCAGTCCATGCCTAGGACCTAGCCACACCTGCCATGCCCTTGGAAGATTCCTCTCTAAGTTCCACTCCCACTCCAGTAAGGGCTACCTGAGACGCACCTGCGACAGCCTCCCCCAGGGCCCTGTCCCGCATCTCTGTGCCTTCTCCCTACCAAGAGTTCCTCCAGCCAGCAGGACGAGCTGGGGGCAACAGAGATTGATGTCTGAGGACTCGGCACTGGGGCTGACTTCCTGCCTGCCACCATGTGGGGGCATAATCATGTCACTGAGGGACCCCACACCTACCCTTCCTAGGCTGCCAAGTCACTGGCTCTGAGCCCCCGGGGGGTCCTAATGGTACCAGGAGAGAGGTGGCCACCGTCAGGGTCACTAGCATACTGGATAAATGGTTGGGCTTGGAGCTCAGGGACAGGGTTTCATGGGTTCAGCTGTGGCCCCACCCGCACCCCAGGAAATGCCACCCCTGCAGGTCAAGGCCTGGGCGTGGGCTCATCACCTTCCCTGGAGACCATGGTGGTGGTGGTGGTGGTGGTGGTGGCAGGTGTGTTCCCATCTCCACCCCTCAGGGAAGAAGCAAGTTCCAGGAGCCTGGACTATGATTCAGGACTCCCTTTTACCCTGCGCACTTTCTGTGTCAGATGGGGAGACAGTGATGAGGACAGACACTTGGAGTACCCTACAACTGGCACCATGCAAGACAGACAGTCAGGAGGAGACCGTGGGAGCTCAGAGGAGACACTTGTGCTGGCCTGGGTTGGGGAGAAAGGAGAGGTGTCAGGGAAGGCTTCCTGGAAGAAGTGGCTTCTGGATTAATTATTGAAGGGTGAGTAGGAGTTAGGGGAAGAAAGGTGGGGGCAGGGGAAAGGTCAGGCATGAGCAAAGCTCGTGGGGGCCTCAGTCCCCATCCTCCCCCCACCTTCATGAACTCTAAACAGCACCACCACTACCCAACCGCCAATATCCTGATAAGCCCTGCCCCCAACTCATTGTTCAGGCCCCCAGCACCCTCTTTATTTTATTTGCACTCATGAAGCCCAACGCAATAACCACCTCTTGAAGGAAACCTTCCAGACTCCCTACTCCCCTCCCCCAGTACCAAGGCAGGAGTCTCCTAGGAGACCACTGGTTTGGAAACCCGTCCTTGAAGCTAAGCAGGCTCAACCGGGAGCCCTGTTCTGTCCCTGGGGCTGTCCCGTTGTTACTGACTGCAGATTGATGGCGAGGTTGCCCCAAGGAGAGAGGGAATTCCCACGGTGCCCTATGGCCCAGAGGCCTCACAGATGATCTCGCAGAAGTGGGGCAGCTATTTTTACCTGGCATTTAATTACAGGGTTTGGATCCCAGAGGAGAGATAGATGGTGATCCCAGGAGCTGCAAGGGAGGGGCATTCCGGGAACTGTGGGGATCTTGGGAGGACAGGCGAGGGCATGAACCTCTAACTCAGTTCCTCGGAAGGGTGGGCGCTTGTCCCCCATTACTGGGCTGGCTCCTCAGACAGGGACTCCCCAGGGCACTACATCACCCCACTTCATCACTATTGGGAATTTTCCCCCTGGCTTGGATGGGGGCTGTATGCACACAGCAGGTTGGACCTGCGCCCCCAGGGGCGATGGCAAGGCCCCCAGGTGATGGGCTGGGTCCAAGCCACACAGTTTAGCCATCCAGAGCTGTGAAGGACAGAGGGGCCTGGGAATAAGAGGATGAAGCTGGGGTGAGGAGACCGCTGGGATTCCTGGATTGGGGCATCTTCAAAATCGGATTTGAATGGGAATTCTGGGGGAAACCAGATTCCAGAACATGGGAATGTAAGTAGAAGCGTGCAAGCCATTGTGATGGAAAGAAGCAGGGTCTTCAATGTCAGTTCAAAAACTTGGTCCCTTTAGCCAGGCATGGTAGCTCTTGCCTGTAGTCTGAGCTACTCGGAAGGCTGAGGTGGGAGGATCGCTGGAGCCCAGGAGTTGGAGGCTGCAGTGAACTATGATCTTGCCACTGCACTCCAGCCTGGGAGACACTGCAAGACTCTGTCTCCAAAAAAAAAAAAAACCTTGGTTCTTATCCACAGCTTTGCTTTCAGATGCCCATGGTCAACAGAGGTCTGAAAATATTAAATAGGAAATCCCGGAAGTAAACATACAAATAAAAATGTAAATTGCAGGCCATTCTGAGTAGCAGGATGAAATCTCAAGCCATCCCGCTGTTCTGCCTGGGATGTGAATTATCCCTTTGTCCGGCATATCCGCGCTTTGGATATGACCCGCTCAACACTTAGGAGCTATCTGGATTATTAGATCCAAAAAAACGTAGTGGGCCAGGTGCAAGTGGCTCATGCCTATAATTTTGGCACTTTGGGAGGCCAAGGCCAGAGGATTGCTTGAACCCAGGAGTTCAAGACCAGCCTCATCAGTAGAGTGAGATCCCGTCTCTAAACACACACACACACACACACACAAATACAGTGTACAGAGGTTCAGTTTTAGCCAGTTTCAAGCATCTGCTAGGGGTGTTGGGACATACACCCCTTGGACAAGAGGGAACTACCATATTTGATCCACAGTAGGAGGAGACCCCTCAAGTCCTGGAGTCACTGCAGACCTGGGCAAGCACCCTGGACCTGTCTTGTCACTAACAAGCTGTTTGTCGTCAGGCCCCATGTGAGGGCTTAGGCGGTGACAGCTGTGACATGCCTGGTGCGCCGAATACATTCATTTGTTCATTCTGGTCAGTGTTTCCCAAGCGCCTGCCATATGCCCAGCACTGAGGACACAGCCGCTTCTAGGTCTGGCAAAATCCCTGCCTTGTGAAACTGGCATTCTCGGGGGAAGGGGGTGGAGGGGAACACACGACCAAGCAACTAAATCTATGCCATGTCAGCCAGCAGTAAGGATAATGGTGAAAATAGGCAGAGTGCATGGAATGCATCAGAGGGAGTATTGTCATGAGAGGGATTTGTCATTCTCAAGAGTGGTCAGGGAAGGCTATTGGCCAAGCCTATGGTTGCGCAGAAACCCGAAGGAGGTCAGGGAATGTGGAGGAAAGAGCACTCCGGGCATGTGCAAAGGTCCTGAGGTAGGAATTTGGCTGCTATGGTTCTGGAAGGGCGAGGAGGCAGGTGCAGCCAGGGAAGAGTGGCAGGAGGTATGTCCAGAGGGATAAACGGAGGCAGATTATGTCAGGCCCTAGGGGCTGTGGATAGGGCCTCGGGTTTCGGCTTTTACTCTGTTTTGTTGTTTTTGTTTGTTTGTTTGTTTTGAGACGGAGTCTGGCTGTGTCGCCCAGGCTGGAGCACAGTGGTGTGATCTCCACTCACTGCAAGCTCCGCCTCCCGGGTTCACGCCATTCTCCTGCCTCAGCCTCCCGTGTAGCTGGGACTAGAGGCACCCACCACCGCGCCCCGCTAATTTTTGTATTTTTAGTAGAGACGGAGTTTCACCATGTTAGCCAGGATGGCCTCGATCACCTGACCTCGTGATCCGCCCGTCTCCGCCTCCCAAAGTGCTGGGATTACAGGCCTGAGCCACTGCGCCCGGCCTCGGCGTTTACTCTGACTGTAGTAGGAACCACTGCAGGATTTTGTGCAGAGGAGGGACTTGATCTGTCTTGTGTTTTGGTTTTGGGTTTTTGTTTTTGTTTTGTTTTGTTTTTGAGTCAGAGTCTCTATCACCAGCTGGAGTGCAGTGTCACGATCATAGCTCACTCCGGCCTCCAACTCCTGGGCTCAAGCGATTCTCCCACCTCATTCTCCTTAGTATCTAGAACTGTAGGCATGCCGCCACATCCAGATTGGTTTTTGTTGTTCTTGTTTTTGAGACAGAGTCTTGCTCTGTTGCCCAGGCTGAAGTACAGTGGTGCCATCACGGCTCACTGTAGCCTCAACCTCCCAGGCTAAGGTAATCCTCCCGAGTAGCTAGGACTACAGGCATGCCACCACATTCAGATCAACTTTTTTTTGTTTATTTTTTTGAGACAGGGTCTCGCTCTGTCCCCAGGCTGGAGTACAGTGGCACCATCACAACTCACGGTGGCCTCAACCTCCCAGACTCAGGTGATCCTCCTGAGTAGCTGGGACTACAGGTGTGCACCACCATGCCCAGCTAATTTTTTGTATGTTTTTTGTAAAGATAGGGTTTTGCCATGTTGCCCAGGCTAGTCTTGAGCTCCTGAGCTCAAGTAGTCTGCTCGCCTCGGCCTCCCAAAGTGCTGGAATTACAGGCCAGTGTGTAAGCCAATGTGCCTGGCCAAGACAATTGTTTTGTTATTACGTTTTCTTTTTTTCTTCTTCTTTTTTTTTTTTTTTTTAGATGGAGTCTTGCTCCGTTGCCCAGGCTGGAGTGCAGTGGCACGATCTCGGCTCACTGCAAGCTCCGCCTCCCAGGTTCATGCCATTCTCCTGCTTCAGCCTCCCGAGTAGCTGGGACTACAGGCGCCCGCAACCACACCCGGCTAACTTTCTGTATTTTCTGTAGAGACGGGGTTTCACCGTGTTAGCCAGGATGGTCTTGATCTCCTGACCTCGGGATCCACCCGCCTCGGCCTCCCAAAGTGCTGGGATTACAGGCATGAGCCACCGCGCCCGGCCTTTTTTCTTTTTTCTTTTTTTTTTTTTTTTTTAGATAGAATCTGGCTCTGTCACCTAGACTGGAGAGCAGTGGTGGGATCTCAGCTCACTGCAACCTCCGCCTCCTGGGTTCAAGCAATTCTTATGCCTCAACCTCTCAGGCAGCTGGGACTACAGGCATGCGCCACCACACCCAGCTAATTTTTGTATTTTTAGTAGAGACGAGGTTTCATCATGTTGGCCAGAATGGTCTCAATCTCTTGACCTCGTGATCCACCTGCCTTGGCCTCCCAAAGTGCTGGGATTACAGGCATGCGCCACCACACACAGGAGTCTTGAGTTTTGGAAATGACTGGGCTCCTGGGAGGAGAACAGACTTTAGAGGAAGTGAGATCAGGATCCTGGAGACCAGGAAGCAGCTGCTGGAATGCTGCATGCAGGAAAAATAGTTATGTGAATCCCAGGACAGCAGCCTGGACCGGGAGGAAGGAGCTGAGTCCTAGGTATATTTCAAAGGTCCAGCCAGCAGGATTCCATGTGACTTCTTCGTTTCTACCCGGCTTTGGGGGACCTCAGAAGAGGTCACTGAGGAAGTGAGGTCACCAGAGGCTCATGGGGACCCCACTTGAAAGCATCTGTCATCCCAGCCTCTTCTGCTAGCCCCAGGAATGACCCCGAGGTTCCCTGAGACTACTGTTTGGGGAGAGAATGAATGCAGGGCTGCCCCTTCTGCAGACACCACCTCCTGCTTCCCCAGTTGTCTTTCTCTTTTTTTTTTGCAGTCTCACTCTGTCGCCCAGGCGGGAGTGCAGTGGCGCAATCTCGGCTCACTGCAACTTCTGCCTCATGGGTTCAAGTGATTTTCCTGCCTCAGCCTCCAGAGTGGCTAGGACTACAGGCCTGTGCGACCACGCCCGGCTAATTTTTTTATTTTTACTACAGCCTCCGCCTCTTGGGCTCAAGCAATCTCCTGCCTCAGCCTTTCGATGGCTGGGGTTACAGCGTGCACCACCACACCCGGCTAGCCGGCTAATATTTGTATTTTTAGTAGAGACGGAGTTTCACCATGTTGGCCAGGCTGTTCTCGATGATCCGCCCACCTCGGCCTCCCAAAGTGCTGGGATTACAGGCGTGAGCCACCGCCCCCTGCCCCAGTTGTCTTTCTGTTACACGCATCCATGCTGCTTGGAAGGGCTGCCTGCTGTAGTCCCACAACACACACGTGTGCGTGTACACACATACAGCCCCAGAGAGTCCTAGGGGAGCTGGAACGAGGGGACAGGTGGGCGCACTGGTCACAGGCCTGAAAGTAACTGCGCGCTTTTCTCACCCGCAGCCGCAGGTGGCTGCAATGGGACGGAAGCCATGAATGGTGCCGCCCCCGGCCCCGCCACAGCCGCCCCGGTCCCGGTCCCGGTCCCGGACTGGCGGCAGTTCTGCGAGCTGCACGCGCAGGCGGCCGCCGTGGACTTTGCGCACAAGTTCTGCCGCTTCCTGCGGGACAACCCAGCCTACGACACTCCCGACGCTGGCGCCTCCTTCTCCCGCCATTTCGCCGCCAACTTTCTGGACGTCTTCGGGGAGGAGGTGCGCCGCGTGCTGGTGGCCGGACCGACGACTCGGGGCGCGGCCGTGCGCGCGGAGGCCATGGAGCCAGAGCCCGCGGATACCTCTGCACTCAAGGCAGCGCCCTACGGCCACTCGCGGAGCTCGGAGGACGTGTCCACGCATGCTGCCACGAAGGCCCGCGTCCGCAAGGGCTTCTCGCTGCGCAACATGAGCCTGTGCGTGGTGGACGGCGTGCGCGACATGTGGCACCGGCGCTCCTCGCCCGAGCCCGACGCAGGAGCTTCCCCGCGCGCCGCCGAGCCCTCGGCTGAGCCCCGTGACAAGTGGACGCGGCGCCTGAGGCTGTCGCGGACGCTGGCGGCCAAGGTGGAGCTGGTGGACATTCAGCGCGAGGGGGCCCTGCGCTTCATGGTGGCCGACGACGCGGCTGCGGGCTCCGGGGGCTCGGCGCAGTGGCAGAAGTGCCGCCTGCTCCTGCGCAGGGCTGTGGCCGAGGAACGCTTCCGCCTGGAGTTCTTCGTGCCGCCCAAGGTGAGTTACCCCGTAACTTCCACCTCCTGGGGGGACCAGAGGGGGCGCCTGGGCAGCAGCTGAGGGTGCCAGGGACACTGCCTTTGGGGACCACGTGGTCTAATCTGGTTGACAGAGTGGAGTATTTGGTGCCAGGACCCTGGGAGGTGGGCCTGTCATGCCTCTTGGACAAGTCACCCCTTCAACCCTGGTTCTTCCTTTGCCAGGAAGGGCCCTCTGGCTACACCAAAGGGTTCTGGGGCACTGGTTTTTTCTTTTCTTTCTTCTTTTTCTGTGTGTGTGTTTGTGTGTGTGTGTGTGTGTGTGTGTCCGTCTGTCCCTCTGTCGCCCAGGCTGGAGTGCAGTGGTACAATCTCGGCTCACTGCAAACTCTGCCTCCCGGACTCAAGGGATTCTCCTGCCTCAGCCTCCAGAGTAGCTGGGATTTACAGGCACCCGCCACGATGCCCGGCTAATTTTTGTATTTTTCGTAGAGACAGGGTTTTGCCATGTTGGCCAGTCTGGTCTCGAACTCCTGACCTCAAGTGATCTGCTTGCCTCAGCCTCCCAAGGTGTTGGGATTACAGGCCTGAGCCACCATGTCCGGCCTTTCTTTCTTTTTTGTTTCGAGACGGGGCTGTCACCCAGGCTGGAATGCAGTGGTGCAATCATGGCTCACTGCAGCCTCCACCTCCCAGGCTCAAGCAGTCCTCTGTTAGCATCCCGCATAGCTGGGACCACACACACCACCACTCTCAGCTAATTTTTTTTTATTTTTCTTAAAGACAGGATCTATGTTGCTCAACTGGTCTGGAAGTTCTCCCCCACCTTGGCCTCCCAAAGTGCTGGGATTATAAGCATGAGCCACTGTGCCCGGCCCAGGGCACCGTTCTTGATGTTGTTCAAGAGACCGGCTACCTGCCCTCCTCTCCTGCAGACCGAGGGTGCCTAGCACCTCCCAGAGCCGAGGCCTGCAGGGATGCGGGCAGGAGTGACCGAGCACATTCACAGAGGGCTCCCTGGGAGGTCTGTGTCTGACTCCATGGGGCTCTGCTCTTCCCCAGCTCAGCTGCCAGGCTCCAGCCCAGCGCCTGTCCAGGGGGTCCTTTTCTGGCCAGGGAGATGCCAGGCTTCTTTCTAGCTGTCACCAACATTGTTGCTCACTGGCGTGCACTGACCCTTTCCCTCTTAAGGGCTGGCCATCAGGTCCCTGGCAGTAGTGTCACATCTTCTCCAAGGTGGCCCCCCTGCTTTGGAGAGTGGGAATAGTGTAACAATAGTGCCCAGCCTCTGAGAGCCCACAGTGTGTCCAGACCCCAGCCTGGTGGGCATCTGTACAGAGATGCTGTCATCATCTAGGTACCCCACCCCAGCAAGGTGAGCACATGGTCCCCAGATTACAGAAGAGAGCGCAGACAGATGTTCAGAGAGGGAGTGTGGCCTGCCCAACGTCACCCAGATGGCAAGTGCCAGAGCTTGGCTAACATGGTGGGGCATGGTGGCGCGCACCTGTAGTCCAAGCTACTTGGGAGGCTGAGGCAGGAGCATCGTCTGAACCCAAGAGGCAGAGGTTGCAGTGAGCCAAGACCACACCACTGCCCTCCAAGCTAGGCAACAGAGTGAGACCCTATCTCAAAAAAACAAAACAAAACAAAACAACTGGGAGCCGAGCACGGTGGCTCACACCTGTAATCCCAGCACTTTGGGAGGCCGAGGCAGGCAGATCACCTGAGGTCGGGAGTTCGTGACCATCCTGACCAACATGGAGAAACCCCATCTCTACTAAAAATATAGGATTACATGCCTGTAATCCCAGCTACTTGGGAGGCTGAGGCAGGAGAGTCACTTGAACCCGGGAGGCGGAGGTTGCAGTGAGCTGAGATCATGCCATTGCACTCCAGCCTGGGCAACAAGAGCGAAACTCTGTCTCAAAAAAAAAAACCGAAAACTGGTCTAATGATACCCGCCACCCTGGTGGTCCCAAGAATGAAAGGAACGTGGAAGTGGAGGTCCTTGGGCACTGGGAAGTTGGGGCAGGGGGAGGCTTTGCTGGTGCAGCAGCGGACAGCAACCCCGGGGACCACCGGGGGCCCCCACCCACCTCCTGCGTCAGGGCCCACTCTGTCCCTGGGTGCTCTCTGAGTCACCCACAGCTTCTTGGCTCTCTCTCCATCTCTCAGTCTGCTGGGGGAATCTGAGTGCCTGGAGGTGCAAGGGTATGGGCTCCCCAAAGCTCAGTGCCCATGAGCGACATGGGCCCTGGAGAAGTGACTTCCTGGGGACACAGCTACTCTCTGAAGAGCTTTTTCCCCAGGTCCTAACACCCCTCCACTTCCCTAGGGCTTTTTTCCTGCCCAGGCCCCTGCCTTTAATTTCCTGGGAGAAATCCTATACCCTAAGCCCGACTCCACTCCTTGTCAGAAAGGGAGACCGAGGCCCAGTGACGGGTGAGGTGGGGCTTACCCAGGGTCACCCAGAGGGCAGGGACAGAGGCCCAGGGCTCCAGCGCCTTGGGCCTGAGTGACAGTCACAGCTGCCCTTCTGTAAATAGCAGTGTCTGCTGCCGTCGGAGGAGGGGAAGCAGCAGCTGGTGCCCACCCCCCACCACCTCCTTAGCCCCGGCAGAGCCCACTAATTTTGCTTTTGGCAGAAGGCAGCGTTCCTGTGGGGTCACTGGGCCCTTCCCCTCCTTTGTGTCATGCCAACGTGGGGGCATTTGTGGGTATTCAGGAGTCGTTCCCGTGGGAGGGCAGCTCCTACCATGTAAAGAGCTTGGTTGAGTTTCCCAAATGTGTCTGGTCCCAGGAGACAGGCTCCCAGGGTGAGTGAGCCCCCGGGATGCCCCGAATGATACCCCCGCTGCCTCTGCACCCACCCACGGTCCAGTTCTCTTGCCTCCGAGAGGCCTGGATGCACCCTTGGAGCCATCAGGAGCTCGGGGCCTGCAGGCTCAGGGGCCATTGCCTGCCTGGCACCTTAGATTTCCCTCTCACACAACCTTTGAGGTGCCAGCCCCGGTGAGTCAGGTCTCTGGCTTCCTGCCTCCTCACCCCTGCAGGAAGAGCCTCCTGAACCCCAGGTCCCCTCATTGCCCTATGCCAGGCCAAGCCCTGGGGACCCAAGGAGCAACGAGGCCAGCCCCCTGCCATTAGGGAAGCCACTGGGAAACCTGGTATTTTCAGGATGCTTGCAAATCTTAGTGGGGTCAGTCGGGCGCGGTGACTCACGCCTGTAATCCCAGCACTTTGGGAGGCTGAGGCGGGTGGATCACTTGAGGTCAGGAGTTCGAGACCAGCCTGGCCAACATGGTGAAACCCCGTGTCTACTGAAAATACAAAAATTAGCCAGGCATGGTGGTAGGCACCTGTAGTCCCAGCTACTCGGGAGACTGAGGCAGGAGAATCCCTTGAACCAGGGAGGTGGAGGTTGTAGTGAGCTGAGATCGTACCACTGCACTTCAGACTGGGTAACAAGAGCGAAACTCTGTCTCAAAAAAAGAAAAAAAAAGAAAAAAAAAGAAATTTCAGTGGGGTAAGCCCTGGAGGAAAAGCTTGGGCTACCTACGTGTTCACCAGGTGGCCAGGACCCGAGAACGGGCACTTCTGGAGGATCAAGCTTTCTGAGTAAAGGCCTGGAGTTATAAAACAAGTTGACCATTCAGGCATGTGGGCACAGTGAGTTGTGGCTGGAGCAGGTGGGAGGAAGCTGGACCAGGACAAATGGACCTCAGATTCCAAGCTGGGGAACCACAGCGTCTCTGGCCAGCAGGATCCCTGCTGAAGCTTCCAGTCCAGGCCTCCACTGCAAGCCTCTGTCTGCTCTGTCCCCAGCCCTGCTGGCCGGCATGACGGCCGCACACCAGGGTCAGCCAGCCTCTGTTCCTGCTCCAAGCCCAGCTCTGCCCCTGCTGGACAGGGGCCAGTTCTTCCTGGAATTCCCATCTGCCTGCCCATCAAATGTGTGGCCCTTCCTTTTCCTCCTAAGAAAGTTCCTGTCTCGGAAACCAAGCCCTGCTGGGAATCCCAGACTCAGGCCAGCCCCAGGGGGGGCCTCAGGCTCACGGCAGGGAGCTTTGAGGCAGAGTGAGTGGAGCCAGGCACAGAGTGGCGGTCCCACAGAGCCCTGCCAGCTCACCTTGGATCAACCCTGCCCGCAGCGTTGTTGGGAACACTGGTCCCTTTTACTCACTCCAGGAAACAGTAAGCCCCGTTCTGAGTTGGGGGCTCCAGGCCCTGCTCTGGAAGGTCAGGTCTGTAGCAGGAGACCAGCATTTTTTCTTCTTTCTTTTTTTTTTTTTAAGTGACCAGGTTTTAAGACCATCATTTTTTATTTTTTATTTTTTATTTTTTACTTTATTTTATTTTATTTTTTGAGACAGGGTGTCACTCTGTTGCCCAGGCTGGAGTGCAGTGATGTAATCTCGGCTCACTGCAACCTCCACCTCCCGGGTTCAAGTGATTCTCTTGCCTCAGCCTCCCAAGTAGCTGGGATTACAGGCGCACACCACCACGCCTGGCTAATTTTTATATTTCTAGTAGAGATGGGGTTTCACCATGTTGCCCAGGCTGGCCTCGAATTCCTGACCTCAAGTCATCCTCCTTGGCCTCCCAAAGTGCTGAAATTACAGTTGTGAGCCACTACACCCAGCCAAGACCAGCATTTTTTAAAAAGTGAACTAGAATAGAAGAGAAAATATCACACTCTATCACACACAGGAAGGGTAACTGTTTTCTGGTGAGATGTTTGCTTCAGAGATATTTTTACCTGCGTGTGTGTGTACTGGGCCCCAGTGTTGAATGTATTTCTCACAGTGGGTCAAGGTCAAAAATAAGAAAACCACAGATCTCGTGGGTGTATCAGGCAGCCCAGGTGGGGTTCTCTCCTCAAGGCTGGGAGGTAGGAGGCTCAGATGTCAATTCTGGTTCTGTCCTGGACTTGCTAGGTGACTATAGGAGGAGTTCCTTTTTTTTTTTTTTTTTTTGAGGCAGGCTCTCTCTCTTGTCACCCAGGGGGGAGTATAGTCATAGCTCATTGCAGCCTCGACCTCCCCCGATCAAGCGATCCTTCCACCTCAGCCTCCCAAGTAGCTGGAACTACAGGTGCACATGCCACCATACTCAACTAAGTTTTTTGGTCTCTCTTTTTATTTATTTATTTTTTTTCTGTAAGACAGAGTTTCGTTCTTGTTGCCCAGGCTGGAGCGCAGTGGCGTGATCTCAGCTCACTGCAACCTCCACCTCCCAGGTTCAAGCGATTCTCCTGCCTCAGCCTCCCAGGTAGCTGGGACTATAGGCATGCACCACCACTCCCGGCTAATTTTGGGTTTTTTGTTTGTTTGTTTTTTGTTTTTTTGAGACAGAGTCTTGCTCTGTCACCCAGGCTGGAGTGCAGTGGCCTGATCTCAGCTCACTGCAAGCTCCACCTCCCGGGTTACCCATTCTCCTGCCTCAGCCTCCCGAGTAGCCGGGACTACAGGTGCCCGCCACCTCGCCTGGCTAATTTTTTGTATTTTTAGTAGAGACAGGGTTTCACCGTGTTAGCCAGGATGGCCTCGATCTCCTGACCTCATGATCTGCCTGCCTCAGCCTCCCAAAGTGCTGGGATTACAGGTGTGAGCCACCACACCCGGCCAAATTTTGTATTTTTTTTTAGTAGAGATGCGGTTTCTCCATGTTTGTCAGGCTGGCCTCAAACTCCTGACTTCAGGTGATCTGCGTGCCTTGGCCTCCCAAAGTGCTGGGAATATAGGCGTGAGCCACCACGCCTGGCCCGTTTTTGGGTCTTGAGTAAAGATACGGTCTCACTATGTTGTCCAGGCTGTCCTTGAACTGCTGGACTCAGACCATCCTCCTGCCTCGGCCTCCCAAAGTGCTAGGATTACAGGCATGAGCCACCACACCTAGCCAGGAAAAATTTATTTCTTGTTTCAAAAAAATGCCTTCCTGAATTTCCCCATCTGTGAAATGGGGATTGGGACACCTCTGTACCAGGGTGGCTGTGGCAGTCTATTTGAGGGCCACTCTAATGCCTGGCAGCGGGGAGGGAATGGAGAAGGCGTCAGGAAATGCTGGGGCCACTGACTGTCCTTCTTCTGGCCCCCAGGCCTCCAGGCCCAAGGTCAGCATCCCACTGTCAGCCATCATTGAGGTCCGCACCACCATGCCCCTGGAAATGCCAGAGAAGGACAACACGTTCGTGCTCAAGGTGAGGTCTCACCCCTAATCCCAGAGATCCTCCAGCTGCCCCAGGCCACCTCCCCTTTGGGTGCTACAGTTCCATAGGGGAGCAAGGGGAAGGAGCCTAAGGCAGGACGGTAGTGGGAGGGAGCCCTGGTGTTGGGGGGGGTCCCCAGACCCTATGACAGATGCCTAGTACATAGCTAAGACTTGAGTCTCGGCTCCACAGCCAAGTGCCCCAGGCGTTGCCCAACATCTGGGCCCCTTGCTCCCATTTACCCCTGGGCCTGGGCGAAGCTCATCAGTTTCACTTCCTGCCCTCCCTTCCCCCACTGGAGCCAGCACACACCCACCCCACTGGTGGCCAGCCGGCAGCAGTTATGCAAATGTTCCCGTCCCAGGGCACTGGAGTGTGGGAACCGGGCGGTCTCCCACAGAGGGCACAAAGGCATCGAGGGTGGGCGGGGAAGCACCCCGGTGGGTCTAGAGGCAGCCCATCCTTTTCCCAGGCCCCACACCGCACGCCAGGGTGGCCTGCAGGGGTTTCTGAGGACACGGCTCCAGGCTGCCAGAGCTGTGGTCCCTGGAACTCCGCAAAGGATCAGAGGGTGTTGATGAAGCAGGGTCCCCATGGGATGCCTGGTCCCACCCACTCACCCTGCATGAAGCCCCCACCCTCTTCTCCCGGCTTCTGGTTGTGTTTGTGTTTGTGCCCGTTCCCATTTGTTTAGTCACGACTCGCTTTTTCGTTTAACGAATGTTTACCAACCCCGGACCCTGAGTCATGCCAGGCTAGGGGCTGGAGACACAGTCCCTGCCCACCTGGTACCCTCTAAACTGCCGATCGTGCATGACAGCCCTGAGGCAGAGGGGCTCGCCTGCCTCAATTTCCCCATCTGTTCAAAGAGGGATTAAAGGCAGTCTCCGAGAATCCACCCAACTCTGTCATCCTGGGAGTCCAACAACTACATTGTTTGGTTTTTTGTTTATTTGTTTGGAGATGGATCTCACTCTGTCCCCCAGGTTGGAGTGCAATGGCACAATCTTGGCTCACTACGACCTCCCCCTCCCAGGCTCAGGCGATCCTTCCATCTCAGTCTCCTGAGTAGCTGGGACCAAAGGCACATGCCACCATGCTTGGCTAATTTCTGTATTTTTGGAAGAGACGGGGTTTTGCCATGTTGCCCAGGCTGGTCTCGAACTCCTGAGCTCAGGAGATCTGCCTGCCTCCACCTCTCACAGTGCTAGATTACAGGTGTGAGCCACCACGCCCAGCCCAACGACTGCATTTTGACAGAGGCACACCACTGGAAGCCGACAGCACAGGACCTGGGTGTCCCAGAGACCTGGGTTCAGGCCCTGGCCCTGCCACTGGCTGCTGTGTGACTTTGAGCAAGTTCCTTGGCCTCTCTGAATCTTGGTCTTCTCATCTATAAAATGGGAGAAATGGCTCCTCTCCCTCACAGGGCCGTTGGGAGGAGTTGAGCAGAGTGCCGGGTTATGCTCTGGGCCTGGCCCCAGCAGGGATGTCCCCTGGCCTCTTCCCCTTCAGAGGCTGCATATCTCAAGCACATGGCCATGCTGGTAGAACTCCAGGCACTAAGATGTGCAAGGCACCCTACTCAGTGTGCCTCTCCACTCAACTTGAACCTCATCCCTGCGGTGCCAGGACATGGGTTGGGGATGCTGGGCCACCCATCCCTCCCCCCACCAGCATGGCCTCCTCAGAGGCTGCGTCTCCAAGGCAGAGAAGCTGAGATCAGTGAGGCGGGACATATCCCCAGTGGGGAGGCCCAGGAGGGAAGGAGCGCAGAGCGTGAGCTGCAGGCTGTACCACCGGGTCCCTGGCCTGAGTTCCGGGTGGTGCCCGACGGTGAACCCCACTGTCTTTCCTGCTGCTTATGCCCTTGAGCCCTGCTGTGGGAGTGGGAGATGAGCCATTTGAGCCATTCTGGCCCTGTGTCCTGTAGTCCAGAGCCTGTCTGCTGACCGTGTTCTGGACTCCCGGCCACCTTCCTCCCCAGGTGGAGAATGGAGCTGAGTACATCCTGGAGACCATCGACTCTCTGCAGAAGCACTCGTGGGTAGCCGACATCCAGGGCTGCGTGGACCCCGGGTGAGTGTCCAAGTGGCCCAAGGATGGGTGGACAGGCTGGGTGTGTCCTTGGTCCAGCCTTCACCAGGAGCAGCTTTCTAGCAGGGCGGGAGCTCAGCTTGAGAAACGAGCAATTCAATGTGATTCAGGTTAGTGCCAGCCAGGATCACCCTCCTTTAAAATACCCGCTACCTCCAATCTCCAGCAGGCTCTATGAGTCCTGCTCTATGGTGCCAGGACCTGGGGACCTGGAAGGAAGTTGGACCAAGTCTTGTCTTCACCTCAAGAGAACCTCAGAGCACTGGGAGTTGGGCAGAGATGGGAGTGAGTCCCCAAAGGGCTGGGGGCCTGGTGCAGTGGCTCACACCTGTGACCCCAACACTTTGGGAGGTTGAGCTGGGAGGACCGCTTGAGCCCAGGAGTTCAAAACCAGCCTGGGCAACATAGCCAGACCCTCCTTTTTTTTTTTTTTTTTTGAGACAGGGTTTTGCTCTGTTGCCCAGGCTGGAGTGCAATGGTGTGATCTTGGCTCACTGCAACCTCCGCCTCCGAGGTTCAAGGGATTCTCCTGCCTCAGCCTCCCGAGTAGCTGTGATTACAGGTGCCCACCACCATGCCCAGCTGATTTTTATATTTTTAGTAGAGATGAGGTTTCATCGTGTTGGCCAGGCTGGTCTCAAACTACAGACCTCAAGTGATCCACCCACCTTAGCCTCCCAAAGTGCCGGGATTACAGGCATGAGCCACTGTGCCCAGCCAACCCTGTCTCTTAAAATAAGAAAAATAAAAAGAGCTGGAGAGAGGCTCCTAACCCAGCTCTGGGCTCAGGGAAGGGTTGCTGGTAGGTGTGCTCACCTAACCCGAGGCTTAAATAAAGAGTGTACCAACGCTAGGCAGAGGAGGATGGGAGAGGGCAGAGAGAACAGCCCAGCAAAAAGAGTTGGAATGGACCCGAACCTGGGTCACCGGTGGCATCATCTGTTATCCACCATACTCTGGAGCTGACTGGCAGACTCGCTTGACCCAAGATTTGAGGCTACAGTGATTGGACTGTACCACTGCACTCCAGCCTGGCACACAGAGCAAGACCCTACTCTTAAAATAATAATAAAATTGGCCGGGCAGGCCGCAGTGCTCACACCTGTAATCCAGCACTCTGCGGGAGCCGAGGCAGGCAGGATCACCTGAGATCGGAGTTTCGAGACAGTTTGGCAACATGGGAAACCCGCAATCTCTACTCAAAAAATAGCAAAAAATTAGCCAAGGCAATGGGGTGGCATCTGTAATCCCAGTACTCGAAGCTGAGCAGGAACGAATCGCTTGACCCGGGAGGCAGAGGTTGAGTGGCTGAGATTAGTGGCCATTCGCGAGCTGCAGCGGAGGCAAGGAGCCAGACTCTGTCTCAAATAAGATATTTAAAAACGGTGTGGAAGTGTACAGCACCCTGGCACTT